CCGGAAGGCTCTGATGTTGTCCTTTGGACACCCTCGCTCCCCAATACATGGTTTGCAAGAAATGATGCCTTTTGTATTAAACTCTCGTAGACCTGTTATATTACTGCGGTATAGGCGGTGCATGTGAGGGTAGAGCCATCGGTGTTGCAATTCCGACTTGAGCTTGCCTTTATTGACATGTGTGGGTTGCCAAGTGTGTCACACTGGTGCTGGCCACTGGATGCTACCAGGGTGAGTCCTTTGAAAAAGATAAAAGCACATGCCTGCCAACTTGTGAACGTCATCCTTTGTGCATCGTAATTTATGCACGTGTAACTGATTCCGTAAGTGCGTGGACCGTGGCATAGTGCTCTAGTAAGGAAAAAGGTAGACCGGTGTGCAATGGTTACTTCTGCTAACACTAACAATCAGTGCTGTGCGCAAGTGTGTTCTCCAATCTATATGCAGCCTATATGCATGATCAGTGGTTGCTACCGGCCACTGTTTAATGCCAAGAAATTTATGGAGTTGTGAATGTCATCCTTGTGCTGAACACAGGTGTCCGTTTCGTGATGACGGACACACATGTGTGAGTGAAAAAAAACCTTTAATAATACCGACTTGACCCATAAACATAATCTCGTTTCTTCTTTCAGGGTTGTTGCTTCAAATTTCAAGAGGTTATCTCTCCCTGTCGCTCGCTGTCTCTCTCCCTCTCCTCTTTCTGTCGGTTTCGCTGTTGCTGTCTGCCTATCTGTATCTCTCGGTGTCTGCCTCTCTCTCTCTCTCTCTCTCCCTCTCTCTCTCTCGCTGTCCTTATCATGTCTGTCGGTCTGTCTATCTATCTGTCTGTCTCTCTCGCTCACTCACTCTCTCACTCTCACTCTCACTCTCACTCTCACTCTCTCACTCTCTCACTCTCTCACTCTCTCACACTCTCTCACTCTCTCACTCTCTCACACTCTCTCNNCTCTCTCTGACTCTCTCTGACTCTCTCTCTGATGAGCAATCGGGTACAGGAACGTGAAGCGGGGGCATAACTTGTGCGCTTGAGAAACAACTTGTCGGTCATGCAGCCATTTTGGAGGCTGTCTTTTGAACTGACGTGAGTTTCTGTGCCTGCGTCGCGGTGTGCATCAGACATGTCTGATGCATTCAACTGGGCCATGGTCGGGTCCCCCTCGGAGCGAACGCTGGGGGCAGTAGCAGCCGAGAAGTGGCGCTCTGTGCGCACCTTGCACGCAGCTAGAGTCGAGCAAGTGGTGTGTTACCGCTGTCTGTACTCAAAATCTTGGTGCATACAGTAAGGTCCTGGTAAGGTCTCCTGGAACTTTGAGCAGGTCGACTTTGATCTGCATAAAGGCATTCTGAATGGCTTTGCCTGCAAGTATCGGATCGGATTTTCAGAGTGTGCATAAAGAATGAAAGCTGCTTCGACTCAGGAGCGCCTGGCCAAAGGGTGGTACGATGAAATGCCTGAAAAGGCTGTCGACATCGTGCTGGGGAAAAAACTCCAAGTTGGGGTAAACCTGGTTCGAGTTGCCTCCGATGTGTGCAGACCCAACTTCAAGGACATGTCTTGCTGAATTTTTAGATGCTCCACAGACATATATAGCTCCGAGCAGTGATATAATAGCACCCAATTTTCGATGCTTCCAGGAGATAGCCGACAACTTTGTTTGGCTGAAGCCTGTTTGTGCCGACTTCCCCCGGCGAGCATTTTGGATATAACGCAGGCTGTTTCCGTTGTTTGTGAAGTCATCCTCAATTGTCTTCTGCACCCGACTATTGCCTAGGTGCCCTCGGCATTTTTCCTCACCGATGCTCTATTGGTGTTGGATCAGATGCTTCAGCGGGGCCTGATCTTGGCGCATGGCGGAGATACGAAACCCATGGCTGCAGCCAGGGAAGCGAAAAGGATCAAGAAATTGATGGGTTCATTGCGAACCTTGAAACGTGGAAGCCACCATGCTTGCATCATTGAGGCATGCAGTTGCCTATCGCATGTGAAGACTGCAAAATGACCACGTGTGCTGTAAAGCTGCTTGCAACTCAGGCGACAACAGCATCGATGAACGTGTGAGTATCTTGAAGGGGCTTCTGCAGGCTTCCCCTGGCAAGAAGCAGCAGGCCCATCCTGCTCATTCCTTTAATTTGGATCATGCTGTTCGTTCCGAGTTGCGACAGGCCGCCAGCGACTCCGATGACTCGGATTCCAGCGATGCAAAGGTCTCCGCTGACGAGGGTGCGGGGCGGGAGCCAGTACGGATCAATGCCTCGCCGGTGTCTCCTGCCAGCACTTCTGAGCTTGGTGATCCTGCTAAGGCCAGCCCGAGCCCAAGGCCGGAGGAAGACATGAGCTCCGACCGCGGAGACGACAGCGATGCGAGCCCTGCACCGTTGGAGGATGATGGGCCCGGGTGCTTGCGCCGAGGCAAATCGACTACCGACCTGCAGGCTGTCCTTGCCCTTTGCAAAGCTCCGAGTTCCGAGTCTGAGGCCTCTGAGGCCGAGGAGAAGAAAGAGCAGCCTCCTTCTCCCGACGCCGCTGAGTCGGGGGAAGAAGAGATGGATCATGATGCTGACTGCGACCCGGAGAGCGAAGATGACGAGAGCATCGATTCCCAGAAAACCTTGCAGCTCGGTGAGAGCCCGCCCTGCAAGAAGCACAAGAAGTTGCCGGCCGCGACGTGCTCAGAGAAGGAGAAGGCCGTGGCGTCTGCTGAAATGCAGCTCGCATTGATCGAGGCAGGGCGCGACGCAGTGCCCAGCAGTGCGGGAAAGGAAGTGGGCGACGGCATGAAAGCCCTGGCGACCCCTCCGTGCAAGTCGAAGGGTGTGCATGCCGTCGATACGCTCACCCCATCCCCGGTGCCGATGCAGACTGCAAAGGCGGTGGCAGTGACTTGTCGTCCATATCCAGATGCATTTGGAAGTGTATTAAAATTACCGCCTCTGTAAGTTTGACCAAGGCACGCAAGCCCAAGCACGACAAGAAGAAGGAAGCCGAGAAGAAGACCAAGTCGCTCGCTTCTTTCAAGAGGCGGCACGTGCTGAAGAAGTCCAAGGCCAAGAGGAAGCAAGCCAAGCTTGCCGAAAGGGACGCGGGTATCTACGGAGATTACAATTTGCGTGAGTTGCAAATTCCAAAGGCTGCGTGGCCTCAGACCGATCGCAAAAACAAAGGCAAACACAGTTTCACTCTCAAGTCGGCCGTCGGCCCAGCCACCATCGAAGTGTTGGTGAGAACGGGAGCGTTCTTTTTGAAGCGCATCAATGAGGGTGCGAGCGGCCCCACGGGGCAGATCAATTTCAAGAGGTTCGGCTCGGTTGCAGAAGCATGGGCCGCTGCGAAGCAATGGTCTGGGTATGTGGAGCCATGAGCCCATGACATATACTGATATACTGTTTGAAAGTCTTAAGAGCAGCGTGCAGTCGTGCTTCCATCTACATGGGATTGTGGATTCTCTGTTGTCAATGCATTGCATTGATGACCGTGGGTGTGTGTGCTTCCGTGGCATAGGGCCACGCCTGGGGGTCGGATCTTATCTTATATTTCTGTAATGTAGTTATAGTGTAATGTCCCCGATCTAATTTACTTCCGCCCCTCTTGAACACCAGAACCTTGAACCCTAAATCCCGAACCCTAAACCGCTGAACCCTAAAACCTTGAACCCTAAAAGCCCTAAAGCTCGATACTCTTCGGGGGTCGCTTCGCAAGTATACGGTGTTGAAGGTTACGGTCCATCCGTAGTGGGGGCAGGCTAGGCCGCCGTCGGATACAAGTTTTGTTAGAGTAGGAGTCTTGCCACTTCGATTTCAATCGAGGTGCGGCAGCTCTGTTTTGCGAGGAGACCAAGCAATGCTTTCAAGTGCTGGGGTGCACGTGCTGCCACCTAGGGGCTGCTCAAATGATGGGATCAAATGCAGATTGCCTAGTAGATTGTAGGTGAGCCAGGGCTGTGTGCTGTCTGGCAGTGCATGATTGGGCGCACATCGTGTTCTGTTTTGTGTTGCACGTTGGCTCGAAGATCTCATGTGGGTACATGAGATGTGGTTCTGTAAAGGATTGGCAGCAATGATGGCTGCACATGGAAAGGGCTTGGCTTGAAGAAGGTGTACGACGAACCAAAGAGACTAATGGTGGATATAGGTTGTATTGGTATCCAAACTAAGACCTTCTATAGTTTAGGCTTAGGGTTTTAAGGTTTAGGGATCCTGAAACCGATCGCCCTCAACCCCTGCCTCGACCATAGTCACCTTCAATTTTTGGATCCTTCGTTGAGGCCTGTGGTAGGCTCCGACGGTTGGGCATTAAGTAATCTTATTCGGGGTTTTGAGCCAGTGTGCTGAACACAGCTGGCGCGGTGTGGCATGGCAAGGTGGGCTGATTGATGCACAGCACCCCATGTACTCCTATAGCATGTCTATAACCCTAAACCCTACCCCTAGTTTTGTGATACCGATTCCATGGAATTCTCAAGTATACTTAATTATGTATTTCTCGATCGTGGAGTCCTATATAGTAGTATTCCTATACTATAAACCCGTATATAAGAATACATCATATAAGTACAGCCCGATCGCAAGTATAGGGTCTAAGTAGAGGGATGTAGAGGTGTTTTGCTCATCGGTTTCTTCGTGCCGAAGAGTATATTATATTGTTTTATATGATTTGATATTATATATT